TGTACAACAGATGCTGACCATAAGAACAGCGCTGTGGTAATAAACGTTGTCTCGTGATCCATAAAAATAGATAGTTTTAGATGAACCCATATGTGTTACTGCTGTAAGCCATTGTTTTTTAAGAGGTGCTTAGACAGCAAAATCCGATACTACTGAACTGGCGGGCGTCGCCGACAGGGGCGTAGGATAAAATTTGAAATGGATTGGCAAGACAACAACAAAACACGAGAGGTGTTAATTATAGTTGGCTAAGTAGACCCCATAAAGAAACGTTAATAAACTTGGAGCCTAAATGATGTTTAGCCATCCTGAAATTATCGTTAAACTATCAAATAAAAATCACTACAGTCAACAACAACAGCAAGGCGTCTTACGACACATTATCCAAATGCTATAATCATAACTGGCACAGAATCGAGTGTCTAATGACTAATTGTGAATCAGAACAAAACTAACGCTGCATGCATAAAAATATTACAATTCGAATATTTTCTAGCTTTCATTGAGTTTTGTGTGAGAAGTGAACAAATTTTAGTTACTTACAAGCTCAAATATGTAGGCAGTACAAGCTGGTAAAAAGTGCAACCTGGACAGACCATTACTATCATGTGAGCTCAGAAATGGTCCGTGATATCGAGCACGACGCTAAACTAAACATATTGTGTAGCGTTTGTATAAATGAGTGCTGGTGGTTTTGGGTGGAAGATGGTGATAGCCAGCAATAAAAAAGAGATTGCATCAAGAATCTAGATTCAAGATCATTAGACTAATTATTTCCTAAATCATGTAAGCACGATGCTGACCCAAATTAATGAAATTAAAAAAAATCGATTTAGGTAAGTTCAGCGGTTTTTTCAATAGTCGTCCCGCCGAAGCGTAGCGGAGGCGGGGAGGCCAAAGCAAGTAGAACTAAACCTAAACTACCACCGCGTAGCGGCGGCGCTCGGCTAGTTGAGGAACTAGAATAGCCACGCCTTGTTGAGGTGGCCCTGGAAGTACTCATCACTGAACGGAACCTTGGCCTCTCCAAAATTCTTCTTGTCATTTAATGCTGCACGAGCTGCGTCTGTGAGTTGCTCCCACATGATCAAGTCCTGGTACTCGCCATCCATGCTGGCAAGGTTCAAATATGGAGAGGAGAGTAGAATAGCCTTATAATCGAGCCGGAGAGACGTGTTGGAGCCGAAAAAGATCGTGGGGTTGTATCGGCCAAATCTTCTATAGCCAACAAAATTTGATGGCCACAGCCTGGTTTTCTTGGAGTATTCCATGTTTGACTTGGACATGGAGACTCCCAGAATTTTAGGCGTTTCCAACTTGGGATTGTCAATCCACACAACAAAGTCCGTCCAATCATGGCGTCTCGAGGGAAATAGTCCCCAGAAGCCTTTAGGAAAGTACCAAGCGTACATTATGGCCCAAAGACCGTTGTGCCACCCAGCTCGACCATAAACCTGAGAGCCTAGAGGAGCATACATGCACGCATCGTTTTTATTCGTCCCTTTGAGGCCACCAGTGACGCCACCGTCTGCGTTTACGGCAGGAAACGGCACGCAAATGGGCCCCGAAGGCATGAGTTGAGGCTTGAACTTGATGGAGCGCTGAAGCGCTGGTGTACCGTGTAGAAGACAGCGCTGAACTTCTTGGCTCTTCTGGCTTGTCTCGCGTCGTCCTGCATCGCTTCCCAGTACGCGAACTCATCGCGCATAGTTGCTATACTCATAAGGCCTTCATCTCCGTCGCTAGGTGCAGCTTTGGGCTTCTTAGCGTCGCTACCTCCTTGGAGCAAGAACTTGGCGATTTGAGCTTCGATGACATGGCCGATCTACTGGACGACGCCTCTAATGTAGCTGATGATCTGTGGCGTCTAGATCTAGCACGGGATCAGTTGTATCCACAGAAGAGAATGGAGCATCTACTCGGACTCGTCACCAACGCCATCAACGCTTTCGTTCTAGCCAAGGCGAAATCTTTAACAGGAACAGCGCAGTTCCATGCAGTCCACCATTTGTTACAACAAGGGGTAACATTGTGTGAGAAATGGCGTAACTCTATCGAGTCCTTAACTGGAACGTTATGGCCAGCACAAAGTGAACATCCATGGGACGGATCGGTATCCTCTCAAGCACAGCGCGTTCAATTGCTAAGTACTTGGCTGGAGCAAGTGCTTCGAGTACGAACGACGTACGAGAAGCTCAGTGTCTTGCTACCATCCAGAGGGGGCGAAAACGAGCTAGCAGAGTCGTGTTTCCGTCCATTTGAGCGGCTACGTCCACTGTACTACAACGCGTACACTGAGCCAGCGTGGCAACGAGCATTAAGCGAGTTTGACCGCTCTTTGGCGCCTATGGAGACTCAAGTGGCCGTGGCGTTACGTGAACGTCTTCGTGCCGTAACATCCAAGCCCAGTGCTGCTGCACGCTTGTTACAACGCTATCATCATCTCCTACAGCGTCCTACCTTAGCACAAGATCTTGCTGGCGAGCGTGACGCTCTTCTAGCTCAGCTTTTGGCGCATGTAGACCAACTGGACAGTGACTTTGAGACGCGAAAGCAGAATCTTGGCTCCAGTATTGGAGCGAGAGACAAGAGCGGCATGCATGTCGGCAAGACGTTGAGTAGCGACGTCAACGTCATAGTCTGGGCACACGCGCTGGGTCGACGCGTAGCAGACATGCAACGTCTAGCACGTGGAGTCTAAACAGACTTACCAGCACTTCATCGGTTATCCCAGCAGTGTGATAAAGTCGCAGCTAAAGCCAGTGGACTGGTACTTGATCGTGTACGTGACTGGCAGGAATCAATGTTACGAGCTCTAGATGACGACGACAACAACAACGGAAGTCAATCTCTACGTCTTCGAGGCAGACTCATGCAGATCGACAAGCAAAGTGGCGATCTGGTCGTGAACTTCAGTGAATTTCTTGTAACATTGTTACGTGACGTCCGTCAACTCACAGAACTATCCTCGCAACAGGCAGCTGCAAGCGAGACTTGGGTCCCAACACGTGTACGTCAAGTAGCCGAGGAAGCGGAGAAATACTACCGCTTTGGTGTAACATTGCAGAAAGTGGCCAACTTTTACAACAGCATCGAGGCGCAGATTATCGACGAACAGAAGCCGATGCTGCTCGACTCTTTGCTTGCGTTTGAAGACGCAGTCCAGCGACCCGGTATCGCGCAAAGTCAGAACCAGAAAACCGAGAGTAAAGACGTCACGTGGGCCAATCTAGACGAATGTGACGAGTACGTGAGTCAACTCCAGACCGTCTCGCAGCCAAGAATCGACGCTTTAAACGCGCTCATGAGAAACTCGGCGAGGAGCTGCTAGCTCTCATGGATGTGGATTTACTTCGATACCCGCAGAAGTGGAAAGAACGTTGGGACGAGATTAAAAAGAACGCGCAGTTGACAACACGGAAACAGGACTCTGCACGTACAGCCAAGTGGTTTCTGTACTGGGACCATCAGCTGTATAAAGTGCTGGAATTGGGCTACCAACTCGGGTTAGAAATGCTCAACGAGAACCTTCCTGAGATTAAGGAGATCAAAACCGAACTGCACTTCCCCACCGCGATGGCTTCATCGGCTTCTGGAGGCTCTACGCTAGTGCTAAAGCCTCCGATTGAAGAGCTACGCACGACGTACTACAAGGCGATGAAGAAGTTTGTGGCGAGACCCACAAAGTTCGGCGGCTTTGCCAACTCGCACGTGTTCTCGGCCATGTGTGACGCCAACGCACGCAATCTTGTGCGTGTGTACGAGGCATGTGAGCGGTTATTCACACGGTTAGAAACGCTGTTATATGAGTACGAGCATTGGGGTTTTCTAGCTCGTATCGGAGGCGGGGGGAGTGTCGACTTGGACGCAGTAATGGAGACAACACTGCAAGAGCCAACGGACTGGGAGATCAACTTCAAGACGATCCGAACGAAGCGCAAAGAGAGCGAGAAGATCCCGGACTCGGTCAAAGTCGACTGTATCCACTTGTCCTTTGTGCCGTTTAAACGCTCACTCGATGAACTGATACAGAGGTTCACAGACGCGTTACTGTTATCGTTACGGAAGAGTACACTAAACCACATCCGGATCGTGGAAGACTTCGTGGATGCGTCCATGGAGAGCTTGAATAAGCGTCCCCATTCTATTGATGAGATTAGCGCAGCTCAGTTAGAGTGGAAGGACATCGACGCGCGTAAAACTGACGTGCAGACTCAGTACCAGAAGGCAGAGAAGAAGAAAGCGCTGCTTCTCGCTGTGCTGGGAGGCGGCAGTAGCGCCGGTATGAGTGGCGCGAGTCTCGATACGAGTGAAGTCGAGACGCGTCTGTCGCAACTCCCAACACGTTGGGAGAACTTTGAGATCGCTCTGGAAGCCTTTAACGACATGATCGAGGAACAGCGCGAGAGTCTCAAAGGCGAGATCGAAACGCACGTGGTGGAATGTAACGTTGAGATCGATAAACTACGCGAACAATGGCGTGCCAAGCGGCCAGTGGAGGTGTCATCATGGGAAGATGAAGTGCTGGCTAAAGTGTACACAGCGATGACGGAGTGGCGTCAACGGATGGACGAATTAAAGACACGATGTCTGACTTTAACCTCGAACTGTGCCGCGTTCGCCATGAATGAACCGGGTGTTTGACGGCCTTGCAGCGTTGGATGATGACATCACGAAGTTGCAGCGTAATTGGGACACATATCGTCAGTTCCGAGAGGAAGTTGAGATCAATACTGGTTCACCTTCTGTACTAATACTACGTAGTACTACGTACAGTAGTATGTTCGCAGATACGGCTCAGATAGGTAAAGTTTATTGACATTATCTGTACTGGAGTTTGTGATCCACGAGATCAGGAGAGGAGACCAGATCTTCGTCAACTACGGACCTTCCTATTGGATGTCCACAGGGATGGACCCCGTCGAATTTCGAGACACTGAAGGAGGTCAAGTACAATATTTTTTTTCGTTCCCCTTTACAATAAGGGGAAGAGAAACAAGGAGCATAGCTAGTCAAGTTCGTCACTTGGAAGTTTAGTCCTCGATCTCGACGACGGCCTCGACTTCGACAGCCACGTTAAGGGGAAGGGCGTTGGTGCCCACGGCCGAGCGGGCGTGGATGCCCTTGTCGCCGAACACCTTTCCGATGGTGTCCGAGGCGCCGTTGATGACGGCCGGCTGCTGGGTGAAGCCGTCGACGCAGTTGACGAAGCCCACGAGCTTCACCACACGCTTGATCTTGTCTAGGTCGCCCACCTCCTCTGTAAACAAGAGAAAACAATTTAAACACTCTGTATCATCCTAAAATTCGACGGTAAGTTAACGTACGCTTGAGGGTAGCCATGAGGCTGAGCGCCACGTAGTGGGCAGCTTCGTAGCCCTGCTCGGGGGTCAGGTCCTTGCCGACCTTGCCCAGGATGAGGTCACCGCCAGCAGGCTGCGGCAAGTGGCCGGCCATGTAGATGGTGTTGCCCGAGCGCACCGACGTGCGATAGTTTCCCTTGGGCTCAGCCACATTCGGTAACGTGTAGCCCAGCTCCTCAATCTTGCGCTCAATGTGCACATTGCGCACCGCCGACGCTAGGGAGCGCGACTTGGTCATACGAATCAGCGAGTTCATGGTGATGGGACTACGTGTGGCAACTGAGTCAAAAGTGGATTGAGCTGAAGCACAAGAAGCCGCTGGTCACCAAAATGATCGGCTCGAAAGGATTTGGCTCCCATCCAAACGGTTTTAGGCATCTAATCGTAAATATGCCGTTAAATAGGTTAATAGATCAGTTAATTGATTGGATAGGTTGTACAGCTGAAGTCACAAAAGTCCTCTCCTGGTTTGTGACAAATTTTCTAGATCGATGTTAAAGTCACACTATGAGTGTGTGCCTTCGTACTTAAGTGCATATAAAAGCCACCACGTGTGTCCAGGAAACAAAGTCACAAAATCAAAGAAGTGCAATACCAGTGGCCCGTGATTTCATGTGAATGATTGACATCAGGGATACCTTCTCAGGCAATAAAGCCCTTAGGATATTTTCGCAGGATTCCAAGCATTTTTCTCTTCTGTTGAGGGTCATACAGCTTGATTGTTGGAGGAGGCGTGTGAAAATCGAAGACGGCGCCGCATCAGTGGCTGCCATCGAAATGAAGCGAAATAGTACGAAGTCGTTGCCTGCTTGAAAAGGCTGGGTCTTGTTAATGATGCTTTGCTTGGTTTCCTCACATTCACAGCCCACAACATTTGAAGAAGTTAATCCCATCTTTGGAACCGCATTTCCTATGAATGTCAAGCTATCGTCGTTTAGCCAAGTATCCCCACGAAACAGCAGAAGCGACTCGTTAACTATCGCACCAAAACTCGACTGTTGAGACATGGGGATAACCAATTTCTGAATCGCTGTAGCAGCAGCAAGCTTGTTCAATTCCTTGTATTCATAGAGCTCGTCAGATACATCTAGACGTGCCAAAGGGATACTTTGCATCCAATCGACGGTATCATAAACAGCAAAGAGCTTCTCCATTACGCGATAGTACTTTGTCATCAGTTGCAGCTGAGACTCGGTAAATGTCCCCACTTTTGGAGCTCGAACACCAACTTTTGTATCAGTGTCTGAATGTGGCCGACGTCGGTGATCATTTTAGCATACTCGAGTTCAGCTATTGATTGCAAGAGAAGAAGAATATCCACGCACTCGTCTAGCATCAGTGTTGGCTTCAAAACATCCTTTAAATGACCCCACGCAGCTTCTAGACTAAAGCGACCGAACATTGTTAAAGTTAGTACAATTTTATATTATCTGCAAAAACGTTCTTACCGATTGTTTGTTGTGTTGCCTAAGTGAGGTACGTCAGAACGACCAAACCCACTCCACATTCTTCTGCACTCATGCCAGTTCTTGTCAAAATACTCCAGGAACGGGTGCAGGGATTTTGGAACATCTTGATCTAATTTAATCTCACGTCCCTCCACAACGTAGTACATATACTTCCGAGCTGTATCGTACTTGAGCTCCGTCTGAGCGCTCAGCATCATATGAACAGCATCTTCTACTTTTTCGCGATCGAAAGCTCCATAATCCCTCTTAGCCATTTCAGTACGGAGGTACTCAGCGACATGAAACACACAAAGTAGAATCTGAGCACCAGGAAACTCTGCACGATGAAGCGAAATTTTACCAGAATTTTTGTCAACAATGATGACACGGATTTTATCCCAGGTAGGGTTGGATGTCTTGAAAGAAGTGACGACATCCGTAAGACATTCAGCGCTCTCATTTTCCATCAGTACATGCTGAACGTATTGTCCCTATTTCACACACAGATCACAAAAAGCCACAATGAGGCATCAAGAATCACAAAAGCCACGATACGGCACCGGGGGGCACAAAGCGACACAAAAAGACACAATGGCACACTGTGAGTCACAAAGAACAAATAATCACAGAGTTGTCACTTACATGGCCGGATACGTCATGAAATATAAAGCTAAACAGCTTATACCGAGCGTCATTGATGTTGTGGGTGGCATCCACCACCATCACTTCTGGAAAGGCCTCAAAGAAGCGGTGCATCTGATGAGTCTGAAAAGTGATCGTTTGAGCCAGTTTATCCTCGTCGACATAGACCGTAGCTGTGTTTCCCTTCTGAGAACAAAAATCACGGAAACAGCAATCCAGTCTAGAACCCACAGTTGTAGCTCCCCGTCGTGCTTCCTTGGTATTGGCAACCATGTTGTGTACGTCCCTTAGGGTGACTCGCTTGCCTATAATAAAAGCGGTGTAGTAACGGTATAGATCTCATAATAAATAGCAGGCGTACCTGTTCTTCGCCTCAAATACTCCATGATCATTCTTTTCTTCGCTCCAACCGCCTGTAACTCCTCGACGAAGCCGAAGATGTCAGCATCTTCAACTCGACGGCTGGCAGGGTGATTGGCGTAGGTGAGTTGACCGAGAGGGTGATTGTGGACAGTTGATTGCTTAGTTACTTTCACCTGGAAGCCTAAATCCGCAACCCAGACCACTGTAAGAGACAACTGCGCCTGACTTTGTGTCGACTTCATAAAATGGTTCTCTCGTTTCCCTTAGATCGGCTTGGCCGTGACCATCCATGCGTGCATATCATCCGCTGGTAATACTTTTCGTAGAATAATTGTTGTAGATGTAGCCTTTCCACGGCGCGTGAGGTCCGTGTTTCTTGCCTCGACATCCTCTTGCGGAAGACTTGGTACATATCATCTTGGGACTTGTCCAGATACTAAAAAAAATGTCCCAGCCCGCGAAATGACGCTTCTCCATAGGCCGCGCAACGAACTTCCTGTCATCAGACGAGGGAATATGGTCCTCGGGTGGCTGTGCCTCAGTTGCGGAGATGCTGTCAACCGCTAGAGATGCCTCTGCGTGGCCTCATCAGCGGCGTCGGAATCCGAGGCAGACGCGGACCTGTTCATATCTCCGATGACGGCGAGCTTCTGCAGCGCTTTCAAATCTTTCAAAATGAAAGGCTGTAAGGCGCGAAAAGAGGGGAGGGGTGAAAGGTGGGAGAGGGGGTGAATATTTTGAGATCCGTGGCAGTTCAAATGTAGAGATTTTATATCTTCGCAGCCGTTTTTATCGTTAATTACTAAAACTCATAGTGTGCCTTTATCCACTTCCAATTTTCTAAGCGTCACGTATACTATTCGCACCGGTCGTGCAGAAGTGAAGGACAAGGCTAAGAACGCTAAGATGCATTTCGCCTCAGGAACGCTGTTGCCACTGCGCAGGTGTACCGCCACTCGGGTGAGGAAGAGGCGACGCATTCTCACTTTTGCCGAGGGCTACGTCGACAAACAAAGGTCGCTGTCGCGTATTTTTCTTCGTCAAAGGCATCGACGGAGGTCGTGGTCAACATCATGCAGCCTCTTAACATCAGTGCTCCACACCTCAATGGTCGGGTACTGGTCAATCCAGCTACCAAGATAGCAGCACAACCGCCGACGTCAATAATTTTCAAGTCTCTGCTCACTTCTGACAGCAGTGCCGCACTGCTGTCTTACACTGGCGCACTGGCAGTGCGCCAGTGTAAGATTTTTGTTGTCTGCCACGATCTGACATGTTTTTTTAATTTGTTCATTTAAAATAAATATTTATCCTCCAAGTCCTAACGCCAGCTTACCTGCACAGACACTTCGTTTGATAGCGTATTATATAGCACCACTTGTTGTAAATCTCCCTGAGCGATCTGGCCATTCGTTTGTGTTGGGTTGTTGTGCCGCTCACAAAACATAACTTTTGAAACTTGACAAACGTGGCCCACTTCCTCCTTCAAATTTACACTTCGGTTTCAAAACATCGATTACACCAGCAAGTAGATACGTATAAATAAAGGTGGACAAACAAACATTTTGCTGCTCAATACGTATGGAGCTTGTCAATTGTTCAATTTGCCCAATCAGATAGCGCTATTGTAGATAATTATCATATACCAAACGGAAAAAGAAAGCATATAAACCGTTTTGTATTTCATCGCGCCGAGAGAAAGTTGGCTGCCAGATTGACATGATTCATCACAGATCGTCCCACGAAAGTTTTAAGAAGCCTAGGACCTGGTGTTTCATATTTGAAAAAAATGGGCTTCCTTCATGTTATGATCCAAGACTTACATACTGCAATCAATATTGGTAGCTTCAAATTTAGGGTTGAATAGTGAGAGAAAAGTGCATTGTTTAATACATGCACTTCTGCACGGTGCTGTGAAGTGCAAAGATATTTTCGCTCGACCACTCACACATCTATTTTTAGAGAGTGTATAATGACTTAAAATCATGTATAACTACATGTAGCGACCACGTTGGTGAGTGATGTGTGTGTATTCCAAGCAACCGTGTTTAGTATTTTTGCTCGTTATGGTAGCTACTACGTAGCACGTCAGTACTATTTAGCGCACGAGCTGCAACGCATTCGTCGAGATCCCCGAAGAAGCCGTGGAGCTGGTATCGCTGTCGGCGTCATCGCTTCTACCAGCACGTGGGTAATGTCGATCATCGACAACACGTTTCAGGTCGAACCCCAGCTCCTCGTTGACTGCTGATTCATCTTCGACAAGATCTCCGACCCCTGCCCATCTTTGAAAGCTTCGACTTCAGTGTTGTTTAGCCAAGGTGTCGTAAATGTCGTACTTGCGCTTAGGCCCTTGCCACCCATGTTCGAGTAAATGAACACTAGCATCGGCACAGTCTCCAAACTGAGTCGATTTCGTCGCTTCGAGTGAATGTAGTCGTGTGTGCTCCACGAGCGCTCCGCAGCTGTTAACGAGGTTGAGGTGGCGAATACTCTGAGGGCTATCTTGGCCAACGTCGGAAACATCTTGATATGGGTGCACCACCAGCTAATCGGGGAGTATTGGGTCTGTTTCTCAAGTTCTTCTAGGAACCACGACTCTTTCATTGTGACGAAGCGTCCTATCTCGTCTCACAGGAGAGCGAGTTCCTTCTCGTCGAGCATGAAGCGCTTCGCCATTACATCCAGCTGGTCCAGTGTAAGTCGTTTTCAACGAAATGCGACGTACTCTGCGTGTGATCTAGGAGAAACGCCACCCCCATGGCATCCGTGTGAATGAAGTTCCATCGATATTGTATGTGTGCCAGTATTTCCGTGCGACGCTGTGGGGTACACCGCGGATTCTAACAACGCCGGTGTATATAGGATCTTGGATCAATTTTTC